GGCTGACCATGGAAGTGTTTTGTGTCCCTGCTACAAATTTGTTCTAATATTTCAGGTAGATAAAATAAATATTCACATTAAATGAATATTTCTTCTTTCTCTGTTTACGTATATGTAAACATCTGTGAAATATGCAAATATCTGTGAAATAATTTCAGGAAAAGTCATACAGCATTTTCTTTTGGAAAGGAGTGTCTTATTTTGTTTGCCATTATTGTAAATAATGTATGGGAAACACTTGGGAGGCACTGATCAAAATACTTTTCTGTTGATAACTTGATTTAGTAGATAAGACAAAAAGCTTTTCTCCTTGAAGCTGTTGGATTAAATGAGTTCAAGGTGAGGGCTAGCTTAGGAATGGTTCCAAAGAAATGAACAGTTTTATTTCTTGTGTAACTTCCACACCATCAAATTCAACACATCCCTGGTAGAAATGTTTGTATTCTTGGCAAAGTGATGAAAAATGACATGAGCTTGATTACACACTATTCTTTCCCAACTACAACCAACGTTTTGGACTCAAGAAAGAGAACTTTATTGATAACTTAACTGCTAATTTACTTTAGAAGCTATACTTTCTGAAGTCACATTATAACTGAGGTGCATTTTCTGACATTAATAATTTAATATTCTATATTTTCAACCTTCCAGCTAAAAAACAAAAATAGAAAAATGCTTAAGTAAATCCACCAGCTACATACCTCCATGAAGGCTGCAGTTTTATTCCATTAAGGATAATATTTAATTAGAAGTAATGCACAGAACTGTTTTCTAATAAACACTGTAAATGTCATATAATTTGATATTTTATTATATTTACTTATATTTACTTGTATTTATCATCTACCTCTATTCATACTGCAATGATTTTTACTTACAGGTCTTTTATTAGTTACCTATCTAAGAAGAAGGGAGTTTCTATACATTTGGGATCCATTTCTTGTACTAAAAAGGGCAAGATTTAATTTCTTTTTTTTTTCCTGTGGGTGCACATTGGATTTAATGGCTTTTCAATTCCCTTTAGTTCTTATGCTCAGCTTCCTTGAAAGTTGCAGGTAGAACTGATAACATGCCATCATTCCCTCAGCACCAGGCCTTATGTTCTAAGTCATAGAGAACAAGGTACAAATCCTTTGGCTCTGCTTTCATTCCTCATTTATACAACACAGTCATAATCAATGAGTACTGTGATCTAAAGAGAAATAATAGCAGCTCCCTAGTGTACCAGAGACAGGTAAGATTGAGATTCAATCTCTTCTAAAGGAATTTCTGTGGTTCTTTCCACTGTCTTGCAGAATAGGTGGTGCCTTACAGCCATAGACTTGTTCCTGCTCTGATTTCTGATAATTTTAATGCACTAGACATTTCAGCTTTCTACTCTCATAGCTCTGTGCTTGAACTCAGAAAAAAGACCATTAAACACGAGTATTTCAGGCTTAGCATAAATTTCTCATTTGAAATAAGGAGCTATAGGTTAGGAATTCCCTGCACACTGCTTAGCTGTAATTTCAGGGCATGATTAATTTCTCGGTGCAAATCACCAGGCAGACACCCTCAGGGGTTCCGTGCTTCTGCTTAAAGCAGAATATTGAAGCAGAGGAGTGCTCATTCACAGAAGAGATTGTAATTTTACTGTTGACACACATCTGCAAATTTTCTCCATATCGGATGTTTAGATATAAACACGGTTTTCTGGTAAGTTCCTTCCAGATGCTGAAGTCTAAGTTTCAGGATCTCTAGGAAAACGCCATATGAAATGAGAAACCCAGTTTGCAATTGAGATAAATGCGTCAAAATGCAATGGTGTTTCTCAAAACTGCATTGCCAGAGCTCTGCCTTACCCTCCCTCGCATTGCTGATAACCTCTCAGCAGCAGCCCCACGAGCTGGGGAGCATGAAACATTTGCAGCCAGCAACATCTGATGATAACCTTGGCTGTGACAGACATCATCGCTACCGCCCCGCAAGGCAGGGGCGACCTAGGAGCCCAGCTCACCCAGACCCTGCTGCAGCCGGAGGGGCGGCCACTCAGCTCCTCAGGCGGACATTCTGCCCTTTGGGAATTTCCCTTCTCCCATCCCCTGCCGAGGTGCGACCCTCCCTGCTCCCTCTATCCCTCCCCGCTCCCCCTGTCCCTCCCTGCTCCCTCTGTCCCTCCCTGCTCCCCCTGTCCCTCCCTGCTCCCTCTGTCCCTCTCTGCTCCCCCTGTCCCTCCCTGCTCCCTCTGTCCCTCCCCGCTCCCCCTGTCCCTCCCTGCTCCCTCT